AGAGCTCCTATCTATACCTTGTGGCTAATAGCCACTGATGGACCTCTGCTCCATATTTATTTATTTGATTACATTTATAACCCGCCCGCCCTGTAAGCGGGCTCAGGGCGGCTCACATTGCTTGGCCCAACGTGCCAAGATTCATATAAACATTTAAAACATTTAAAATTGGAGACTCATTATTCTTATCCAGTTTGGTGTAGTGGTTAAGTGTGCGGATTGTAATCTGGGAGAACCGGGTTTGATTCCCCACTTCTCCACTTGCACCTGGATGGATGACCTTGGGCAAGTCATAGTTCTGTCAGAGCTGTTCTTGAAAAAAAGAGCAGTTTCTGTCAAGAGCTCTCTCAGCCCCACCTACCTCTCAGGCACTGCTCCCTCTAAGCTGAGTTAGTGTGAGCTAGCTCACAGTTTTTTAGCCTCCGGCTCACATGTTTTTGTCTTTGCTCAGGAAGGGATGGCTCCAGAGCAAACTGATTTATGCAGTAGTCAAATTGCTCACTCACAGCTTTAATGCCAGTAGCTCACAAAGTAGAATTTCTGCTCACAGGACTCCACAGCTTAGAGGGAGCATTGCTCACAGGGTGCCTGTTGTGGGGAGGGGAAGGGAAAGGAGTTTGTAAGCCGCTCTGAGACACCTTTGGGTGGTGAAGGACCATGGGGTATAAATCCAAACTCTTCTTCTTCTTAAGAGGGAGGGCGTGAGGGAGTGTGGGCCGCCAGCGTTCATAACACCAGTCGGTCTCCTCCTCCTTCCTGAATGACCTGGGCAACGGAGACCGGATTCTGTTGCCTGAGGAAGCACTCCACCTTGCACTCCGTCAGCAACTCGAAATCCCGCCACATTTCCACCGGCTTCATATTGGGGCCGTGGCTCTCTCGCACCGCTTTGGGCTTCTCTCGCAGCTTCTTCCCCAAATTTTCTCGTTCAGCGATCATGCGGGAATATCGTTCCCTAATTGCCTTTCTTCTCTCCTGGGGATGGGGAGAGACGTACATCTTCATCTCCTCTTTGGCAGGCTGGAGCTGCACATCCAGAATCCTTTTCATGCAGTTGATACGATGGTGACGGCCTTCCTCCTGCCCACACTCCTCCCGAAGAACTTTCCCCTCCTGTGCCAGGGCAGAACGACTGCTCTCCGGCCCCGCTGCGCAGCTGTTCGGACTGGGTTTTCCCCCCTCTTAGCATGCCTGAGTTAACTTCTGGCACTTCTGCCACATATGCTTATCTAATTCCCTCTTGAAGCCGTCCATGCTTGTAGCCGCCACCACTTCCTTTTTTTTTTTAACACGTCTTTTTATTTGAAATTTTCATTATTCTTGTGAGATTTAACACTTATTTATATACCTCCCTGCAAGAAGGCATATAGTAACATCCTTTAACACATGTTGTATCAAATAAATCGATTTTTCACATTAACATTTATTCCATTTAACATCCAATAATAATTTAAACAATTCATAGTATTTAAATAAAAGTGAATACAGTTGAACAATGCATTTACGCTTCTATCCTTTCCCTTGTTCTTCATACTCGCTAGCCTACTACACATCAATATTTATTTTCCTTAACTTTAACCATTTGTATATATCTCCCCATTTCTCCCAGTAATCCTCTTCCAATTTCTGTTTAAGTTCCATGTTAATTTTATCCATTTCTGCTATTTCCAGTACCTTGTTCTTTATTTCTTTTATTGAGGGTAACATATTAGATTTTCATTTTTTTGCAATCAGTATCCTTACCGCTGTTATTATTTGTATTATTATATGTCTATGTTTTTTTGTTATTCCATCTGGAATCATATTTAGTAAATATATCTCTGGTGATAATGCTAAATTTATTTTTAAATTTTTATTTAAAATGTTTTGCAATTTTTTCCATAATTTTTGAACCTTTTTGCAATTCCACCAAATATGCATAAATGTACCTGTATTTTTCTTGCATCTCCACTTCCTGTTGCAGTGAATTCCAGGGTTTAATCACTCTTTGGGTAAAGAAGGACTTCCTTTTATCCGTTCTAACCCAACTGCTCAGCGATTTCATGGAGTGCCCACGAGTTCTTGTATTGTGAGAAAGGGAGAAAAAGACTTTTTTCTCTCCCTGCTCTATCCCATCCATAATCTTATAAACCTCGATCACATCACCCCTCAGCCGTCGTTTCTCCAAGCTAAAGAGCCCCAAAGTCTTATCAGTCTATCAAAGTCAGTATTGTCCACTCAGACGGGCAGCTGCCCTCCAGGGTCTCGGGCAGAGAATTGTCCTTTCCACCAACTGCTGCCTGGTCCTTTTTTACTGGAGATAACCAGGATTGAACTTGGGACCTTCTGCATGCCAGGCAGGTACTCTGTTACTGAACACCCAAAGCTGCCTTATACTGAACCAGACCACTGGTCTATCAAGGTCAGTATTGTCTGCTCTCCGGGGTCTCGGGCAAAAGTCTTTCACATCACCTGTGAACCGATCCTTTTAACTGGAGATGCCGGGGACTGAACCTGGGACCTTCTGCATGCCAAGCAGAGGCTCTGCCACTGAGCCACAGCCCCTCTTGACAGCTCTCCAGGGTCTCAGGCAGAGGTCTTTCCCATCACCTCTGAACCGGTCCTTTTACCTAGAGATGCCGGGGATTGAACCTGGGACCTTCAGCATGCCGAGCAGAGGCTCTGCCACTGAGCCACACTAAACGTGAACGTGGTGCCATGAGCTGCAGAGCGAGAATGGCTGGTGTAGAGGATGATAGAATCATTGACTCGTAGAGTTGGAAGGGACCTCCAGGGTCATCTAGTCCAACCCCCACTTTATATGCGGGAAATGCACAACTACATCCCCCTCCACACTCCCAGTGACCCCTGCTCCCCGACTAGAAGGTGACCAAAAACGTCCAGGATCTCCAGCCAGACTGGCCTGAAAAACTGCTTCCCGACCCCAGAGTGGCAATCGGCATTTCCCTGGGCGTGTAAGAAAGGGCCATGAGGACTAAGCCCTGAGGCAACCCTTCCTGCTCTTCCTCTCGCGATGTGCTCCCCATCCCGTCACACAGAAATTGCTCTAAGAAACCATTTTAATTCCACCTGCGGTTGAGCAGCAGTGGCAGCCATTCTACTGGGGAGGGGGGGAGGCAGTCAGTGGCAAAGGATTGCAGGCACACCCTTTTTTAAGACAAAAATGTGTGAGCCGGAGGCTAAAAAACGGTGAGCTAGTTCACACTCACTCAGCTTAGAGGGAACTGCCTGGGAAGTCGGTGGGGCTGAGAGAGCTCTGAGAGAACTGCCCTCGAGAGAACAGCTCTGACAGAACTATGGCTTGCCCAAGGTCATCCAGCAGCTGCAAGTGGAGGAGCGGGGATCAGACCTGGTTCTCCCAGACTGGAGTCCGCACACTTAACCACTGCACCAAATTATTAAATTTAATATGCAGCGTCTCACCACCAAGCGGTTTCAAGGTGGCTAACAGCAACTAAAATATTAACAGACACGGATTAAAAACATGACGCAAATGAAGAAGAAGAGGAGGAGGAGACTGGATTTATACCTCACCCTTCACTACCCAAAGGAGTCTCAGAGCCGCTTACAATCTCCTTTCCCTTCCCCTCCCCACAACAGACACCCTGTGACGTAAGAGAGCTCTTTTGAGGACTACTCTTGAAAGAACAGCTCGGAGAGAACTTGTGACTGACCCAAGGTCACACCAGAAGCTGCATATGGAGGAGTGGGGAATCAAACCCGGTTCTCTCACATTAGAGTTTGCGCTCCTAACAAAACACTAGCTAAAACTAAAAGGCAGTCGTTATAGAAGAGAAGAAGAGATTGGATTTATATCCCGCCTTTCACTCTAAGCTGTGAAGTCTGGTGAGCAAAAATTCTGCGCCGTGAGCGGGCGATTTGGCTACTGCATGAATTAGTTTGCTCTGGAGCCCTCCTTCCTGAGCCAAGACAAAAATGTGTGAGCCGGAGGCTAAAAAACGGTGAGCTAGTTCACACTCACTCAGCTTAGAGGGAACTGCCTGGGAAGTCGGTGGGGCTGAGAGAGCTCTGAGAGAACTGCCCTCGAGAGAACAGCTCTGACAGAACTATGGCTTGCCCAAGGTCATCCAGCAGCTGCAAGTGGAGGAGTGGAGAATCAGACCTGGTTCTCCCAGATTAGAGTCCGCACACTTAACCAATACACCAAACTGGCTCAACAGACTGCTGGTCAGGGATCCCCCCAACCAATTTTCCCTCTAAGCTGTGGAGTCTTGTGAGCAAAAATTCTACTTTGTGAACTTACTGGCATTAAAGTTGTGAGTGAACTATTTGGCTACTGCATAAATCAGTTTACTCTGGAGCCATCCCTTCCTGAACTAAGACAAAAATGTGTGAGCCGGAGGCTAAAAAAACTGAGCTAGCTCACACTCACTCAGCTTAGAGGGAACACTGCCCCCAACCCCAGGTGGTCCCCTGGGCCTGGGCTGCTGGGCTTTCCCCCTGCCGCCATTCCCCCTCCCCTCCTTCGCTTGTCAAACGGGCTGTGGGAATTGGGTTTCGAGGCCTTTTCATTTGAGAACTCATCAATATTTCAGCCCCGCTCCTGCAAAACCTTCAGACTCGTTCGGCCTTGTCGACTTCCCGGAGCGATTCCCACCCCGGCTTAGCTTTCCGGATCTGACAAGGCGGGCTAGCCCAGGCCTTCTAGGTGGCGATGAAAGGCAGGACGCGGCGGTGAAAAGTCCTGTCAAGTCGCAGCCAACCTATGGTAACCCCCCGTAGGGTTTTCAAGGCGAGAGACGCTCAGAGGTGGTCTGTCATTGCCTGCCTCCGCGCAGCAACCCGGGACTCTCTTGGTGGTCTCCCATCCGGGGTCGATCCGGCTCAGCTTCCGAGAAGATCTGGCGAGATTGGGCTGTCCTGGACAAACGTTACCCGCAGGATTTTGAATTAACCTGTTTGCAAAACGGTCGGGGTGCAGATCCGGGAAGACCAGTGCAGCTCCAGTGCGCGGGAGCTGGAGCACAAGTCCTAGAAGGATGGGGCCTGGTGTTGGATGGCAGACGCCCGAGCGCCCGGCCGATGCTCGCTTTGCCAGTTCTGAGCTGGGCCAGCTCTTTGCTTCGAAGACGTCCGTTCCCCGGTGTAGATTTCCCCCAAGCGTCTCCTCCCGTAGGTGTAGGGGCAGCGTGGGACCAAGCGCCTCTTTGCTTCACATCAGCGGCAATGAGAACATGGTCTTCTAGGACGCCTTGGCCTTGCCTCAAAAGCACACGCCAGCCAGCCGTATGTTACTGCAGCTTGGTGTCCCTTTGGCCAAGGAAAAACACAGCGCAGCGGCCATTGGGGTGTGTCGGAATGAGGTCTTTATTTTATTAATAATCCGCTCTCCCCAAAACTACCTCAGAGTTGGTGACAGCAATGTATAGATAATACAGTTGAAAACCTCCCAAAACACAACATACAATGAATCAGAATCAATAACTACAATAAAATCTATAAAAGTCAATACAATAATTACAATAAAATCAATAAAAGTCAATATAATGACTACAATAAAATCAATAAAAATCAATACAATAACTACAATAAAATCTATAAAAATCAATACAATAAAATCGATAGAAATCAATGCAATAAAAATCAATAAATACAATAAAATCAATAAGTATTTCTCCCCAAGATTTGGGAGGCTGACCGGGTGTGTGTGTGTAGGTGTTCAGAGTTGTCTTTCCCGGTTGTGTTTCTTTCTTCCTATGGCCCCCATGTCCTCTTCCCCCTCCCTGCAGTGTGGGACAGTGGTGTGGCTGACAAAAGTGAAACGGTAATTGTAATCTGGATTGGTTGAATTTATTGTCCTACTGATGGGTTTTGTTTTTTATTTGCTTTTAACTATACATTAGTTGTAATTTTAGATGTTTTATGATGACCATAAGGAGCTGCGGCGGCTCAAGTGGTTAAGACGCTGAACTGCAGGCTGTGGAAGGTCAGTAGTTCAGCAGTTCGAGACCCGGATGCCGCAAGACGGAGTGAGCTCCCGTCTCTAGTTCCAGCTCCTGCCAACCTGGCAGTTCAAAAGCAAGAAATTGCAAGTAGATAAATAGATACCCCTTTGGTGCGAAGGTAGCAGCGTTCCGTGCGCCTTGGTGTTTAGTCATGCCGGCCACATGACCACGGAAACGTCTTCGGACAGCGCTGGCTCTTCGGCTTTGAAACGGAGATGAGCACCGCAACCCTAGAGTCGGATTCGACTGGCTTTCGAGCAAGGGAACCTTTACCTTTATGATGACCATAAATCGCCCAGAGCCTGTTTGCAGGGTGGGCGATTAAGAAGACATAATAATAATCATAGATACGCGGCTAATAATAATCTTTGATACGTGGCTGGTAGGTGAGCAGAGAGGGAGAGCTGAGTTGGAAGGAGCAAGCGAGGGGGCGGTGTTTATGGGGGGGCGGTGTGTGTGGGGGTATTTAGGGTAACCATTTCTCTATGGCTGGTGCAACCCGTAAGCGGCTCTGTCTGAACTGGCGTTCCCTCGGCCTCTAGTGTGACTGGGTGGAGCAAATGCAAATGAAGAGGTGGGGGTCATTCAGATAAGGCCCAGGCTTGATTTTCAAGGTTTAGCCCCCTCCACCACCACCCAGTGACATCCCTGAGTTGCATCCCTTTGCTTTTCTGAAGAACTGTGCCTGCACAGGAAAGCGTGTGCCGGAATGAAACCTTAGTGCTCTTAAAAGTGCCGCTGGACACGGCTACCCACCTGTCTATATGTTTGAACCTTACCTTCCATTCCAACCAGTGTTCTCTCTAAGCTGAGTCAGTGTGAGCCAGCTCACAGTTTTTTAGCCTCCGGCTCACACGTTTTTGTCTCCGCTCAGGGAGGAGGGCTTCAGAGCAAACCGATTGATGCAGTAGCCAAATCACCTGTTCACAACTTTAATGCCAGTAGCTCACAGAGTAGAATTTTTGCTCACAGGACTCCACAGCTTAGAGGGAGCGTTGATTCCAGTGTATTTGATAAAGTGTGCGTGCGCGCAAAAGCTCATACCTTGAAAAAAACACGTTGTCGGTCTTAAAGGTGCTCCTGGACGCTAAATTTGTTCTACCCTTTTCCCCACGTCAGTGCATAGTTGCCGTTTCTAGTTACGGGCAAGGGTGGAGGATTGGGGTGTAGGCAAAGCCGTCTCACCACTTTCCTTGTTTCCTGATGGCCCAGGACCCACTGAAGGGGGATCCCGCGGGGTCTGTGCAGTTTGAACAGGGACTCTGCGAGTTCCCTTCAGCAGGGCTTTTTTTGTAGAAAAAGCCCAGCAGGAACTCATTAGCATAATAGGCCATACCCAACAGCAGGAACTAATTAGCATATCAGGCCACACCCCTGACAGCACAGCTCATTCGCATACTAGGCCACACCCCCGCGTTACCAGAAGTGTGCTCATCCAGCCACACCCACCTTTTGCTTCTTATTCTGTTTACCAGGGCTTTTTTTGTAGCAGGAACTCCTTTGCATGTTAGGCCACACACCCCTAATGTAGCCAATCCTAATGAGTTTCTGCTGTTGGGTGTGGCCTATTATGCTAATGAAGTTCCTGCTGGGCGTGGCCAACTCGGGGGCCAGCCGGAACTCCATTCCTGTGCGTTCCTGCCCAGAAATAGCCCTGCCCTTCAGGTACAGATGCCCCTTTCCCCCACCCTGGCTGAAAGAGTCCCTTCCAGAAGCAAGATCAGAAAACCCGGAATCTCTGCCGTCTTGAAGACTAGGCTCTTGCTTTTGAATAAGACCAGTCACGTCTTGCGTTCCTATGACAGTTACAAGCATGAGAAAGTATGGCAGAATTTGGGGTTCAGTGAGCCTTTCTGTCTTTCTATGCTATGTAGGTTTTGCTATAACCGACTTTGGTTCCTTGGTTCAGAAGTCCCACAAGTCCCTCTGTCGCTTTCAGCCTAGGCATAAAAACTAAAGCCTTGCACGATAGATGTACCTTTGCCTGAATTCACATTCCACGGCCTTCCGAGGGCCAGGCCTCGAAGCCTAAACGTATCCGTTTAGGTCTTTTTGATATCGGCCTGCCGAGGGCCAGGCCTCGAAGCCTAAACGTATCCGTTTAGGTCTTTTTGATATCGCAGTTCATAAAATACATTTAGTGCAGAATGGGGGGGGGGAACCCCGGAATAAACAGAAAGGTTGAACTCGAATTTAGTGCAGAATGGGGAAAACACCCTGGATTAAAAAGGAGGGTGGATTCGATTTTAGTGCAGAACTGCTTGAAGGACACCGTGTGGTAAAAACGTGGATTAAAAAGAGAAGGCAGAATGGGCCGCGGTAAAGTCCAGTCGGAAAGTGCTCTGGAAGTAACTGTCTTCGTCTCCCTTGCCGCTGTCTCGCTCGAAGCCTTGCCCTGACGCTTTCGTTTCCCGTTGCCCCCCTCCCCCCGCCAGGTTCACGCATGGGAGGTTTCCGATCAGCTGCTGCAGATCCGGCAGGACGTGGAGTCCTGCTACTTCGCGGCCCAAACCATGAAGATGAAAATCCAGACCTCATTTTACGAGCTCCCGACGGACTCTCACGTCGCTCTGCGGGACTCTCTGCTCTCTCACATCCAGAACTTGAAAGACATGTCCCCCGTCATCGTCACCCAGGTAAGTGGCCGGGCTGGCGGGCATTGGGAGGAGAGGACTCAGCAAATGACTGTTGACTGGGGGACCTGAGTGGGGTGCTCTCCTCAGAGGTGGGTGATCTCCAAGTACTGGGGCGGGGGTCCGGGGCCGTTGCATTCACGTCCTGCTTCTGGGCTTTCCGGGAGCCATCTACCTGCTCCTGGATCTGGGCCTTTTGTTGGAGAAACAAGAGGCGGCGGTAACCAAGGATGCCTTTCACCAGCTCCAGCCCTGCTCGGGCAGAAAAGATCTTGCCACTGTGGTAACATCTAAGTTTGACTACTGCAATGCACTCTATGTGGGGCTGCCCTTGAAGACTGTCTGGAAGTGACTGTTGGCACAGAATACTGCAGCCAGAGCATTGCACGGACCACGTCACTCCAGTCTTGTTCCATCTACACTGGCTTCCAGTTTGCTTCTGGGCTCAATTCAAGGTGCTGGTATTGACCCAGTATGGCCTGGGACATACCTCCCCTCTTGTGAACCTACTTGTACGCTCCACTCGTAGTCGGGGGCTATGCTTTGGTGGCCCCACCATCTGAACCTAGGTGGCAGCTGGAGAAAGGGCATCAAAACCTTAGTACTCCCTCCCCAGGGAGATGTTCCTGTCCCCCTCTATTAGTGTCTTTTGCCAGCACGTGAAGATGGTACCTGGCTCTCCTTCGGGTCTTGTTTTATGTGTTTTTAACTGAATTCTTTTATAATGTTAACCAGGGGTCATTTCGTAGGAAAAGAGGTGCAGGAGCTCATTAGCATAACTCATTAGCATAACTTATTTGCATATGCCACACCCCTTGACCTCACCGGAAGTGCGTCAGAAGACAACACCCACTGCTCAAGCTCCACTGGACTGTTTTGGATTGCTAGCTATTGGGGGGGGGGAATGCGTAGATCTGTCCTTG